GACAGCCATTCAGACTGGAGTGAGGCAGAATCTCAATGTAATTTTGATTTGCATTTCTTTGATGGCTGGTGAAGGTGACCATTTTATTTTCATATGTTTATTCACTGCTTGAGAAATGTCTGTTCATTTCATTTACCCATTTATTGATTGGGTTGTTTGAGCTTCTTTAAGCTATACAATAACTGGATATTTACAAGTCAACCTATTACAGGTATATTTGCACAACAATATTGATTGTAGCACTATTCAAAATAGGTAAATTATGGAACCAATCTAACTATCTAAAAATAGAGGAAGTGCTAAAAATGTGGTATACATGAATGGTAGAATTTTCTGAACCATAAAGACGAATGAAGTTATGTAATTTGCAAGAGGAGACCAATAACTGGAGACAATCACATTAAATCAATTGAGTCAGTCTCAGAAAAACTCTCTCATTTGTGGTCCCTAAATACATAAAGTCACATATGTATAAATGTCATGAAAATAAAATAAAATTTCCAAAGAGGCAAAGGGGCTTAGAGGGAAAAAGGAGAATAAGAGTACATGGGGGAAGATATGCTCAACTTACAAAAATACGGTGAGTAAAAACTTAAGAAGCAAATTGATTTAATAAATGCTTCTAAACATTACCATGCATTTTCTAGCGGGAAGTCATTTTTAGTTGAAAATGATAGCTCTATCCCTACTGAGTTTCTATAAAAAGAGAAACACAAAATTAATAGTGTTGCAGTTTCTGCTGTGTGTGACGTGGGACCATACACATATGAGGGGCAACCCCCCAATGGCTTTGGCTTCTTATAGGAGTCAAACTACCTATTCACCATAATGCAGAGGTGTCATTTTAGCCTTGGTTTGTAATCTGGGATGTGAATTGGATGGTATGCTAAAGTAGACTTTCATTGGTCATTACATCTGTGATATTTTCATTTGTCCATGCACAAAATGACCTCATTTCTCCATGAAGCCACAAACACTTAACAATAGGACGCCAATAAGTCAAATTGAATTTACCAATAAAAATTGATATTTATGTGGAAACCATAGAACTCTTTATCCCCAAGCAATGTTTCAACAAGGATGAAAACATCAATAGAGTTATACATTCTCCTCTTGAATTGATTTTCTTTCAAATACTCAGATGTTTCTTGGATTAACTTTACTAATGAATTTTCACAGTACTCACTCTCTTGCCTATGAAGCCAGTCTGTACCAAATAGTGATGTTATTTCTTAAGTCCAGGTCTTATATCAGACCATTAACAGCTGGAAAACAATTTGCAAAGAGAGTAGCTAACCTCAGACACCTTGTTGCTAATAAAGAAACAAAAATAGAATGTGTGTAAATATCTGTTTAAAAAGGATAAAATGATTTCCCTGGATATATAACCATGTACAGCAGCTACCCTGTTACTTTTATTGAATCAGTACTTTATAGGATGGAACTTTACTCAGTTAATATATTGTGAATATGCATCTAGAATTGATACAAAGATGATATCAAGAATAATAGGAAACATCTATATTATAGATTGAAATTGTTGAAAAAATTAAACTAGGTCTAATATATTAAATAATTTCTATTAAAAACACATGTAATACTGTTATGGATTTAATATCAAATGCCAGGCCAGGGGAAAACACTTGCTACTTAAGCCTGATGACCTGAGTTCAGTACTTGTAAACCATATAGAGAGACAGATGTGTTGGAACACATCCGTAATCCCAGTGTTCCCACAGATGGGAGGGTGGAGACAGGAGAGTCAGCTATAGACTTGTGGACTGGTAACTTGGAGTAAGCAGTGCAATGGCAAAAGCAGCAAGCCCCTGCCTCCGAAACAAGGTAGGAGAGAACCAGCTTCCAAACGTTTTTCTGTGGCCTCCACATGCACACAGTATGCCCACATGCTCTCTCAAACACACATGAGATGCATAAATTAAAGAAGTAACTATGAAATATCCCAAACTGGCCCTTGGAACACTTGGTTCCCAGCAAGTGGCTGGTGGTGGTTTGGGAAGGTTGTAGAACTTTCAGAAGACAGATCCTAGCTGTCACAATTGGCCTTGAGGTGTTAGAGTCTGGTTAGACTTCCTGTCTGTTACCTGCTTCTTGTCTTGCCAGAATGTGAGGAAGTGGGAGGACCCAGTCACATGCTTCTGCCACATGGAGGTGGCTTTTGTCACATCTTCTGGTACAGTTTGATGCAGTGATACTGGAAGCAACGTCCTCCTTCCTTAACTTGCTTCTCACAGGCATTTAGTCACCACAACAAGGAAGCAAGCAATACAGCATTTCTCTTAAAACTGGTTAGTCTGCGGTGTGTGTGCGTGTGTGTGTGTGTGTGTGTCCACATGCCACTGCACATGTGTCAAGGTCAGAGGACAACTTGGAGGAATTGATTTTCTCCTTTCAAGGATGGAACTCGGGTGGCAAGCTTGGCAGGAAGTGCCTCTACTGTTGAACCCACAATTATTAACTTTTCAAAGCAAAGATATGAACACACACACACACACACACACACACACACACACACACACACACACACACACACAGAGCCATACCCATATTGCCATGCTATCAAGGAATGTGAAAAAACAAATCAGTATCATAACACAATGGGAAATGTTAGATAGCTGTACTCATTTTACCATTGTTGGAGTTGCCCTGTTTTTCTGGTAATAAACTGTAGCCTAAATAAATATAAAGGTCAAGGTATTCATAAGGCCGTGCTATGTCTGTTTTCCATATATTTAAGCATTACACCTCCTGGTCTTGTTACTAAAATGTCAAGCTGAGTATATGCAAAGCTCACATTCTCTTAGTTAGAAAACAGTACACACTTAAAGAATTTACAGAAATAGCTCCAGTCAATGAGAATGCAAGGCAGCCTTCTGTACAGCTCTCCTGAACAGAGCAGCCCCGGTGGGGCGTGACTCCACACCTTCATCCTCTTCACAAAACATTTGATTTCAGAAAATAAACAGATAATAATTTTCATCCAAATGCCCATTTCAATTCATTATCTGGGGAAGTAAATATTCACAAAGGTGACACCTAAGTCAATATTGACTTTGGGGGATAATAAATCCTGACAGTCTCCAGAACAAGTGGTTTATGTAAAGAATATCCCCACATGCAAATCTACTAGGTATCTTAACCATAATAGAAAACAAATAATGGTTCAAAAATTAGGTATGTATGCTGGGGAGATGGCTTAGCTTGTAAAGTGATTACCATACAAACATGAGGACTTGAGTTTGAATCCTGACTACCCACATGCACCCAGTGACCCTAGCACTTGAAGTATGGAAATGGGCAGATCTCAGGAGCTCATTGGTCATCCAGCCTAATCAAATCAATGAGCTCAAAGTTTGTTTAAAAAACCTGTCTGGTGCCGGGCGGTGGTGGCGCACGCCTTTAATCCCAGCACTCGGGAGGCAGAGCCAGGCGGATCTCTGTGAGTTCGAGGCCAGCCTGGGCTACCAAGTGAGTTCCAGGAAAAGGCGCAAAGCTACACAGAGAAACCCTGTCTCGAAAAAACCAAAAAAAAAAAAACCTGTCTGAAAACAGTGGTTGAAGATGACACCTAACATCCATATCTGTTTTCTATATGTAGATGTAAATGCATGAACACATAACCCCATACAGCTGTACACACACCCACATGAAAAAGTATATACCCTACACACCTATCTCACCCCATCACAAAATTGGGTAGCATATATTTTTCATATATGTACAATGTTAATTGTTTTGAGTTAACTTATTACATATCATGTACTATATTAAGTTATGATAACAAATAATATTAGTTTCTATTAAAATATAACACAAGGCATTTGGAGTTCCCTAAAGGGCAGAGTGAGGACATTAAAGATCTGAATGCACAGATGTTGCTCAAACAAGCACTAAGGATGTGATAAAAATTAGCACTTGGACCAGAGTCAATCACCAAGTCAAATCCAGATGTGCAGCAAATGTATTTATTTGTGTTTGTCTCTTCTTCCACTCACATTGGTCCGCAGAAGGCAGCATTGGGCCATTCTCACTGATGATGGTCCAAGGTTCATTATTACCATGATGTAAGGAGCTGTGAGACAAAGGGGGTGCCCCACATGTCCTGGATGAGGGCTCGCTGCCTTGGCAGGAGTGTCACTCATTTTGTCTGTGCTTCAGTTTTATCAAATACTTATTTTGCCATTCACTGTGCTATACACAGACAATTTAATCATAGCTAACAGGAGATCTCTTCTTTTGAGGAGGTCCCAAGGGGATGCCCAGGATGTAGGTGGATAATTCAAGGGCCTTTACAAGATAATTTCTTAACATAAAAATAGCTCTTGGCTGCAAACTAAGGAGAACAAGGTGAGGAGGCAATTTTTTTTTGACAAGCTGCTATCTTTTCAGATCAGTAAATGCCAATAGGATGACACTTACATAAATAGCACCAAGAGCAAATCAGTTTTCCAATGGGTTAAAAATAAAAATAGGAGCTTCTCTCTAGTTATCTGAACTATACAAAATCTTATCACTAGCTAGACGAGCCTACTGTATAGTTAAGAATGCCAGAATGTGTTGCTAGTAGGCAACAAACAAATAAGTGGAAAGTACTTGAGGCAGTATGCTGAATATCCTGTAGGATCATAATGTAGTATATATAGTGCGTTAAAATGTTATACTCTATCACATAAATATGCATGATTGTTATGTGTCGATAACACCAGAAAATGGCAGCTACTTATTTAATGACTTTGGACAGAGATCATATTAATAACTTTACCAGATACTCCCTGACCACTGAAGCAGATGCAGTGTTATGCTCTCAGAGTGGTCCCCCTGCCCCACCCCAGGAAGGCAATCTCTGTCTGAATAATGACACTTATATCTTCTTTCTCTAAAACTTTTTAATATATGATTATTTTTGCACATAATTATGAACTTAGATTCTTGCAACTAAGAATTAGGTAGGACTAGGAAATTGCATAGAGGGGCAAACACTAGTCAACACAGTCTGATAACGTGGGTGGAATTCCCAGAAACTGTGGAAAAGCAGACATCATAGAACATGTATAATCCCAGGTGCCCTATAGATAGATAGGATGTAGGGACAGTAGAATCCCTATAAGCACACAGGCCAGCTAGCCAGGTATGGGCAGTGGTGATGTAGCCTGTTTCACACAAGCTGGAAGACAAGGACAAAGATTGACATCCAGGTTGTCTTCTTCCCTCCATGAGCTAACACTCACACACATACACAAGCACAGAGGGAAAGAGGAAGAAAGACTAGGGAGAGATTTTGATAAATGATGGGGAACTTCACAAGACCCCTCCTTGAAAAATCAGAAGAGAAAGAATATGCTGAAGTATAGAATTCTGGGAAGTTTTGTCCCATTTTCTCGAAAGCAGTACTTTGTAATTTATTTTTAAATGCTGAAATTCTATATAAAATTTCCTTTAGAAAACTAGAGATTCTGCCTTCAAAATAAACTTCAGTATTTATGGAATTACTCTTTGCTGTGCAACGCTTTTTTTAAAAAAACACAATAATTATCGATGACTTTGTGGTTAACAGTCAGGATAATCAAAGACCTTTGTCCATAGTAATTTATAGAAGAATTGAGGTACATCTCCAAGGAAAAAGACACTGAGAAATGTCCTTTATAGACTCCCTAAGTCTGAGGAAGCATGTCCAAGGAGTCAAGGTAGAAACTGAAAAATAAGATGCAGGAAGTCAAGTGGTTCCTGAGGTTGAAAGGACAAGCTCATAAAACCTTGAAATTAAAGCAAAGAATCTATTGGTCTAACTCTCAATGCAGCTGATGAGGAGATCATGCTGCTGTAAGGGCCATTCTTCATTATCAAATGAATGTTCTGTGGCCGGCAGGCAGGGTCCTTCACTGCACCTGGCCAAGGATGAAGAAGAATGACACTAGATATAGTTTTGTGGTTCCAACCCTCCTGTATAATCAGTATTCATCAGCAGATTAACACTTGGCTTATTCCATGGCCTGGGTATTGTGAACAGTGCTTCACATTTAAGAGAGAAAGATTTAGATCAAAGATAAAACCAGCATGCCCACCTAAGGAGCTCCATGGCCAGTGTGCATCCTATGGCACTGGAGACCCTTCAGTAAGTTAGAAGGATTTTTCAATGAGCAAAGAATAAGTGAAACACACTCTATCAGTTTATTTTCTTAGGTTGTAATTTATATCTTGCAATTTATACAAAAGCAACTTTAGGAAGCAAGAGTTTATTTGGGCTTATAGTTCCATGGCAAGGTCCATCATGATTGAGAAGACATGGATATGGGGAGGCAGCTAGGCACATTGCATCCATACTCAGAAAGCAGAGCAGTGAATGCTGATACTTATTTCCCTTTCTCCTTTTTACTCAGTCTAGGAAGCCAGACCATGAGATGATGTCACCCATATTTGGGGTGGGTCTTCCCATTTTAATTAATAAAGTCTAGACAATCATTCATAGACATGAGTGGAAAGTCATTTCCACAGTGATTATAAATCCCAGCAAGTTAATAATCAAAATTAAATCTATCACACTCAGACAGTAGGCACTGACAGTACAAGCTATAGTGCTTTTTTGGCAGGTTGGTCCTCACCATGAAAGGGTGGTAGAAAAATTTAATCAGTGGTGCCAGCAACTTTTATGAGTAGGTAATCCTACATAACAGTGGTGTCCTTTAGAGATGGAAAAGGGATGCTTTTCAAGGTTAGCATAAGATATCTCATATAACAGTGAGGCAGAATCTATGGGGCTGGACACTATGGTCATTTCCCATCAGGGATCAGAGAGAACTAGCTTTGAAAGCATGAACAACCCCTCAAGTTTTAAGAACTTTGGGTATTAGCCTCAATGAAACAGTAGACTGAGAAAAAATATATCTGAGATTTGAAATCATGGAAAGTGGATTGAAATCCCACTGTAGATCTGGGAAGGATATGATCTTAATTCAGCTAGCTACCCAGCTAACCTAGCACATCTCAGTGATAGGAGCAAATTCCCCTTTCCATATGACTGATTGTAGTAAGCCAGCAAACAACACAGTGAAATCTCATCAAGTGCCAAAGTTGGGGTGGGGTGCCTGTCTGAAATCCTCACAAACTCAAACACACTAGCTCATGCTATCTCTGCTCTCTAGTGATCCACCACTCCAATCAGCAACCATAGCCCTTCTCTTTGTTTCTAAAATATTCCTAAGGACTATAAAATGAAAGGTACTAATTTCTCTTAATTTCTGGCTATCAGAAAGAACGTGTCCTTGTGGACCCCAGTCCAGGCTGCACATAAGGCTCAGTGTGAGGGAAGCTGGTAGCGAGGCCAGAATTGATCTGCTCTCCAAGATGAGTATAGAGGATAGCACGTCATCAACGTTCCTTTTCTGTTCACTACACAGGCTGGTGGGTCTCCCCACTCCTGTGAATTAAGTTTCTCTAGTTCCTATCATTGACTGACCATAATCTGCAGCTTATAGATCAGTAATAGCTTAAAGATCACGGATAATGGAAATGAAGCAACCTGCTTCTCTGAGATGAAGGGACAGACACCAGCCTCTTCAATACAGGAATCCTGGAAGCTACAGACACAGAGAGAGGCAAATGCCAAGCCTTGTCCTGGTGCTTGTAGTTCTCTGCTGTTGGCTAAGGAATACACTTGGTTCACCAATTTAAATAAGATTAGAGGAAAATATTTTTTATTATAAGCAAGGATATAATGTAGAGCTAAATACAAATTTGCATGAGTGTTTAAGATAGAATTTCTAGGAATTTTACACTTCACTGGTCACTGGCTGCAATGCTGTTCAAATCCCCACTGCTCTCCTGAGACCCTATTCCTCTAGATGTGGCACTTGAGAGAGAAATCTGTAAAAGCATTAGCTTATGCCCCAACATGTGAAACCGTCACTCAGTAAAAGGTGAACAAATTAGGCAGATGAAGGGAGAAAGGACAGAAAGAGAGATTCATGAAGCATGAAGCAAGGAAAGAAGTGGGGGAGACGAGAAGAGAAAGAAGGTACAGTGGGCAAGACCCTGGAGGGTGGGATGTGATGGGGTTAGACCAGAAGACCCAGACTTTGTGCAGAGGACAGGCTTAGTTCTGACATCCTGAACATGCCTAATTACTCCCTTTCCTCAACTCAGAGCCCTCCATCCCCCCTTCCTTATACTTAGGATTGCTATCTGGATCGTCTGTCTTCCCGGCAGTACAGAGATCTGGGCAGACTGCACTCTAGTTTCTCTACAGCTAATTTCTATGAGCTGGAAGTTTTCCCCATAATTACAGATTTGGTGAATTAGTAGAGCTGTAGAGGAGTGGTTTAGAGACAGACGGCTGGGAATGATGGAATTAGGTGGGCATCCCCAAGTGTCCTGTAGGTGGATGATCTGTGTAAAGCCTGGGCTTCAACTGGCCTCACAGGGAAACGTCACATTTGGTGACTGTGCCCACACAGCATAACAAAGCAGAGCTGGAATCCAGCAGACACTTAAGTTTCCTCCTACACCTCCCACACAATAATGAACTCAGGGAAAGACAATAGTTGTGCACAAGCTATGTGACCTCACAGAAACAGGAGGGCTGGAGACCAAGGAAAGGCAAGTAATATTTGGAAGGAAAGAGAAAAGGAAATGAAACATTTATTCAGCTACAGCAGCCTAAGAGCATCTATTAAATACTGCTCACTCTGCAAACTGATTTGTTTCTTTGTGTATTTGCATGATGTGTGTATATGTATGTGATATTTGTGTACTTATGTGATATTTGTGTGTATGCATATGAAGTATGTGATATTTGTGGATATGAATGTGATCTTTGCATCATGTGTGTGTGTTCATGTGTTGTAAGGGCTTTACGTGTGTGTGTGTGTGTGTGTGTGTGTGTGTGTGTGTCTGTCTGTCTGTCTGTCTGTCTGTCTGTCTGTGTGTAGGTTAGATGGCTTAAGAACACTGTGATAATAGAAGTATAATAGCAATCTGGCTCTTCCTCAGTGCTGGGATCAACTCAGATCCTCATTCTTACTCAATAAGCCCTGTAGTCACTGAGCTATCCTATGAGTTATGCAAAATTCTTTCAACTGCTCATAGACTTTGGACTGTCTTCGGAGGGATATTTCTGCTTCAGAGGTAAATTGTTACAAATGGTATGCACGCAAGTGTGTTAGTATTTTCTCTCAAGTTCTTTCTGTCTTCCCCATTGCTGGTGTCATTCTGAAAAGCTCAATGGAATCTGCAGATGTAGGAAAGAGAGAGGAATAATCACCCCCTGGCCTGAACATACACAAAGGCAAGTAGACAGTATAGAGACATTGGGATTTATGCTTAAAGATCAATCACTAATGATAGCACATCAACCTGAAGCACTCAACTCTAGAAATTCTCCTTAACCAAGCAGACACTAAAGTGGGTTAAGATGCCTCATCAACCACCAGTTGATGAAGAACAGAATGTATGATGTCCAGGTTTAATTACACATTCCTTAGTGACTAGTTCTCATTTTGCTGACACAAACCAATGTAATTTATAGACTAGAAGATTGCATCTGAGTGATGGATACAGTGTGTGCTAAACGATGTCATGTATATATGAAATATGCTGCATTCAGATTACTACCACTCTGTATTCACAGAAAAGAACTTCATTTCAGAGCAATGAACACCTTTTGAGCACCTATTGCTTTTATTTGTCACAAACAATGGAAGTATCTATAGAATATATTTTAGCTGCAAGTCTATGCTTTTGTGTGCTTAGCAGCTTATACATCCTTGTGCCTTGAATTTTCTTGGTCATTATTCTCTGCAAATCTATATGAGCTGAACCTTCAAATATCCTTCTTGGAGTCCTTACTAGCTGCTCTAATCATCTCAGCTAGTTTCCTTACCAACATTTTGTTTTATTGCATTCTATGCCTCATTAATCCTTGAAAGGTGTGAGGGGGAGTGAGAAGTTCTGGAGAGATAGCTTAGATGGCATAGTTCTTACTTTGAAAGCTTTAAAACC